GGTCAACAAGGACCTCTGGCACAACAAGGGGAACTCCCCAGGGATGGGTTGGTTGGGTCAGTAGTCCAACTGGGAGTGGCATGCCCTGATGGCCCCCTCCAGATGAAGGTGGGGGGGCCATCAGGGTGACAGATGTGCCAGATGTCCAGTAGGGAGTACTCCGTCAGGATCTCCCCAAGCATGCCTGGCTCTGCTTCCTGCTTGATCGGTCCCATGCATCTGGGTTGATATCAAAGTCCCCGCTGAGGACCAGGCGCTTGCAAGGGTTGAGGGTGCTGATGTAAGTGGCTGCTTGGCGGAAGAAGTCCGCCAACTCCGCGTCCTTCACAGGGGTGTACATGTTCAGAAAGTTCAGGACCAGCCCCTACACTCGGACCTGGAGGTGCAGCAGGTGGCTTGGTGCCACCTGAACGTCGTGGAGAACCTCCAGCTGCAGGCCTGGGGAGAACAGGCTGGTCACCCTGCAAGAGGTGACTGAGAGTTGACTAAAAAAGACCTTGTCTCTTCACTCCAGCTGCCAGCTAGACTTGTTGGCCAGAGTTGTCAAGGTCTCCTGCAAGAATACCACAGGTTACCCTCCCTCTCGAAGGAAGGAGAGCACCTGGCATCTCTAGAGACCCTTCCTGCAGCTGTAGACATTGAGGGTTATGATCTCATGGCTAAAGGGTGGTTCAGATAATTAATCAGGGGCCTTGTGTGTCACAACACCTGATGTGGGGTTCCCGGCTTCTGCAGCCCTTCCATAGGTTTAGAGGGCATCTATGAAACTGCGGGCCTACCTATAGATTCGAGACTTGCAGCACTTGGGGCCCCTGCCTTCCCCCACCAGTGCCCTTGCAGTGTTGAGGACTCCTCAGCAGTCCAAGGTGAGCTGCACCTTGCTGATTAACTGCCGGGTGAAGTCATGGTCAAGGAATGCAAGTAGCTCACCCTTGGGGACTACTTGGACTGAGAGGTCTGCAGGTTCCACAGAGCCTGCTGGTTCTCAAGCATCCTCTTCCTCATTCTGGGGCTCAGTGGGCTCCTTGGCACTGTCTGAACCCCCCAGTCCACTAACACCTCTGACTTGGGCTGGGATAGGGAGAGCTCTGCAGCCCCTTGGGAGAGGGGTGGGGGTGAA